CTACTATATTGCATTCATATGAATGTATTGTTTAGTCTACTAAATGGCATTTATATGAATATATTGTTTTGTGTCTACTGTCTTTCATTAATATGAATGTATTTTGTCTACTATATGGCTTTTATATGAATGTATTGTTTAGCCTACTATATGGCATTTATAAATGTATTGTTTTTTCTACTATCTAGCATTAATATGAATATATTGTTTTTCTAATATATGGCATTCATATGAATGTATTGTTTTTTCTACTATATGGCATTTATATGAATGTATTGTTTTGTCTACTATATTGCATTCATATGAATGTATTTTATCTACTATATGGCTTTTATATGAATGTATTGTTTAACCTACTATATGGCATTCATATGAATGTATTGTTTAGCCTACTATATGGCATTTATAAATGTATTGTTTTGTGTCTACTATCTGGCATTCTTATGAATGTATTGGTTAGTCTACTATATGGCATTTATAAATGTATTGTTTTGTGTCTACAATATGGCATTCATGTGAATGTATTGTTTTTTCTACTATATGGAATTCATATGAATGTATTGTTTGTCCACTATCTGGCATTCCTATGAATGTATTGGTTAGTCTACTATATGGCATTTATATGAATGTATTGTTTGTTCACTATATGACATTCATATGAATGTATTGTTTGTCCACTATCTGGCATTCTTATGAATGTATTGGTTAGTCTACTATATGGCATTTATAAATGTATTGTTTCGTGTCTACAATATGGCATTTATATGAATGTATTGTTTTTTTCTACTATATGGCATTCATATCAATGTAATGTTTTGTGTCTGCAATATGGCATTTATATGAATGTATTGTTTTTTCTACTATATGGCATTTATATGAATGTATTGTTTTTTCTACTATATGGCATTCATATGAATGTATTTTATCTACTATATGGCTTTTATATGAATGTATTGTTTAGCCTGCTATATGGCATTCATATGAATGTATTGTTTAGCCTACTATATGGCATTCATATGAATGTGTTGTTTAGTCTACTATATGGCATTTATAAATGTATTATTTTGTGTCTACAATATGGCATTCATATGAATGTATTGTTTAGTCTACTATATGGCATTCATGTGAATGTATTGTTTAGTCCACTATATTGCATTTATATGAATGCACTGTTTAGCCTACTATATGGCATTCCTATGAATGTATTGTTTTTTCTAATGTATGGTAGCCTATGATTGTATTGTTCTGAATTAGATGGCATGAAAGAGGGGTAACCGGTTTCTTCTGACTGATCAAATTTTAAGTATTAAAATTTATGCAACTTTCATATTTTTACTTTTTTGTGACTAGTTAATCTGCCACATGTGCTGTTAGAGTTGTATGTATATGTCGTGGGTGAAATGACTTCTGATGGTAGATTCTGGATCCAGCATATAAGAAATGAGAAAGAAGAAGAAGAATATCACAAAATGCTGGACAATATGAGAAAGTGAGTCGTTCTGTTTAACACATGATTTTGACAATTTCTTTACTTAATGGATTCTAAATTCTTGTCAAATGACATTGATTGGCTACAAAAGATTAACACTTTGAATGCTCCTGTCAACTTTTTGCACCAGCAACAAAATTGTTTACAGTCTGTTCCTCCTTGCATGAAATGTTGATAAAAATTGACAAATCTTTTGGTCAAAAAACTAAAAGCAATATTTGAAATTGTCGTATGGACCAAAATGATGATAAAATTTAGTGACATTTTTACAAAATATGAAAAATATTTGGTCTTTTTCAATGCAAAGCCCATTTTTATACAAAATAAAGTTCACATGACTTGTAGTTGATGGGAATGTGTGTTTATTTTGTCCAAAATAAACAGAAAATTTGAAGAAAAATACATAGTGTGCAGAATGCTAAACTGAATCTTTGATTTGATTTCTACTTTGGTTTCTAGGCATTTGTCAAACCACCCTACATGTGTTTTTTTGTGTAAACTATTGGCAGCTTTTAATGGTGAAGAGAAGAAATGGTGCAGGGCTAAAGTAGAAGGGCAAAATAGTAACATGGTAAGGCATGGTAACTTATTTGTTAAGCTTATTATCCGCTGGCTTGTTGGTAGGTGATATTTAAATAATAACACATGACCAACAGCGTGAGGGCAGACAAAAAATTGTGATATTGCCCGAATGACCATGTGTTATTTATTTTATCACATCGAGCAGACATTCATCACGAGCAGACATAATCAAGCATTTCTCGGCTGTTTACAGATGGATTTCTTTCAAACTTGGTATATACATTAGAAATTATGGGTTCCTGATGCACGTCATTTTGTTTTTCAGATCGGATTCAAAATTGCTGACTGGCGACCATTTTGTTTTAATGAATGGGCTTCTAGACCCATATCTCTGACTTGCTTTGACTGATAGTATTTTCAAACTTTAAATATTCATTATACATCATGTCATAGATTTACAGATATATTGGTTTGACAATCCTATTCAAATTGGCCGAATGGCGTTCATTTTTGTGCTGAAAAATCATCAAAATCTAGCATTTTTCGGCTGTTTACAGATGGATTTTGTTCAAAATTGGTATATACATTAGACATTATGGGGCATTGATGCAAATAATTTTGTTTGTCAGATACATGTAAGATTCAAAATGGCCGACTGGCAGCCATTTTGTTTTAATGAATGTGGTTCTAGTGCCATATCTCTGACTTGCCTAGACTGATTATGTTCAAATTTTAAATATTCATTATAAATCATGTCATAGATATACAGATATATTGGTTTGACGATCCTATTCAAAATGGCCAAATGGTGGCCATTTTTGTGCTAAAAAATCATCAAATATCAAGCATTTCTGGCATTTATGGATGGATTTTGTTCAAACTTGGTATATACATTAGACATTATGGGTTCCTGATGCACGTCATTTTATTTTTAAAATATAAATTAATTATACATGTATTCAAAATGGCTGATTTTGTTTTAATTAATTCTGTTCCAGAGCAATATCTCTCAATACTTGTTTGACGATCAGATACAAATGTCAATCATTTT